AGAGGTTCTAAAAAATTCTATGTATTCTGAGTAAGACTGGCAGAAATTTCTCTTCTAAAAAATAATCTGAAAAATACTTTTAGTTCTCGAAGAGAGCAAGGCCTCGTGTTAGTCTCCCTTCCAGATGCATAAAGATTTTAATATACAGCAGCCAATGGTTTATGGTTCAAATTTTCTTTGTTTTGAATTAATTTTATTTTAGCTTTTTTCTTTTAGATAATTTTTTCCTTCATAATGGTGGTCAACTAATATTAATATATGAATAAAACACAGTAATGGAAAAACTGAAATACAAGCGAAGAAAAAGCGAGAGTCGCATGAACCATTAAATGTGACGATGTATTTTGTGACAACAACATTTGCTTGCTTAGTCGAATACAACAAAGCAGACGAAAGCTCCCTGCTTTCGTAGAAGACTCCGTAAGATTAGGTTAGGTTATTTGAATACTGCAAAACATGCAAGGATTATCTGCTTAAGTAAAAGGATATTCGTACGGAATTTTTCTAAACGAAACTGCCTCATAATCACGTTACACATGATGAAAAGACCGAAGACTAACCATGCACCCAACTTGTTTGCCTGGGATCGAACTCCGACAGGGCCGACGTAACGCTGGAGCCCACGGAACACTTGCCAAGGGATTTCTGTGGTGAATTATTTCCATGTTATCTAACTCCATATAAACGATGCGTGAGTAAGAAGATATATTTTTATTAGGGATAATTAGCTTTGTTTTTCTTTCATTGCCGGTTCATTCATACAGCTCATTACCATAGTTGACTGCCAGTTTGCTCGTGCAAACTGACAATGAGTATTTGCATACGTTCTGTAACAGGCTCCTTGAGCATACGGGCTATATGCAAAACTGCTTATATATCATTTCAATGGGTGATGATCTTAGGGACTCCAGCACACTGGTCTGCCCTGTAGCTCATTAATGCTGTAAAGACGGCACTAAAACCAGGTGGAACTGCCAACATCCAGTTGTCTTAGCACATCGACCACTTGTGGGGGCCTGAAAATTTCTTAAGAGAACCTATCTTATATTTACACTGTATATGGGGAAACCCATAGAAACATACCGCATGTTCCATAGGACTGAAATCGAGGTCCACACTGTTCTATTCAGCTACTTATGGGCTTACAGCAACAACGAAAATGTATGTTTCAATTCAAATATGCATGAATTTTTTTAATTTGTATTGTCTAATGTTTCTTATTATTAGTGATGTATTTATTAACAATATATTTCAATTATACTTGATGAAATTTACTTCTCCATAATATGCTTTCCAGTAAGTAGGTGAGGGATTCTAAAACGTATTGTCTTTCCGGAATTTTTGTGATAAATATACTTCTGTTCCTTTTCCCTAAAATGCACCAGTTTTTTTGCAAAATTTTATTGCTTATTACACGGTAAGCTATGCCAAAGAAGAAATATAAGAAATTCTTCGTCAAATTATAAGAAGACTATGCGCCTAGAGAGTTGTAGACTTTCGCATAAGGAATAATTTGAAGGGAAAACAATTTAAGATTTTTCTTCAATTTTGTTAAAAACAATGACCATCATGACATTTTGCAGAATTTGATTTAGGAGTAAATCCTTTTCATCTTCCCTTTAGTACACTTTAATATTTTCTGAAATGATTTCATTGCTTTCATTTATATTTTATCAGCTTTTATTACATTGCTTTCATTTATATTTTATTAGTTTTTCATTTCTGTTCCGAGAAATCGGTTTTTTTCACTTTTACTTCTTAGACGACCCGTGCGCCGAGAATTTATTCGTATCTTTTCCTAGTTTCTAGTTTTTCTGCATGTATTGAAAACTTCAAGCTTTATTCGCATGTACTGGAAATTGCTTGTTTGCGTGAACGAATATAAGAATTTGTATTTAAATGTACTTTTTATGAGCGCTTAATATTAATAAGAACAAAGACCCAAAAATTCAGCCTACTATCAAACATCTCGAAGAAATTGCTATTAGAATTTAAAGAATCTGTAAAAATAGTAAGAATTTTCTTTCGAAATCTGTCAAATGGATCGAAAATATATGTATACTTAAAATTCTATTCTATCATAAAATATATTTTTGAGTTCATCAAAATGTTGTCTTTAAATTGCTAACGGTCTTGAAAATGTCTGAATAAAAGGTAAATCTTTTACCTTGATTCATATGTACAGCTTAGGTAGTTTAGTTTTTTAGAAAAATACTACTTTCAGTATTCGTTTGTAAATTTTCCATATATCTGATTGCGACAGTAGTATACCCCCCACTATAGGCGGCAAAAGGATGCCGCCATGACGTAATAGAACAATGGATGACGCAACGGGGGGCGTGGCCTCCGCCATATTGGATCACGTGACTTCCATCCGCCATGTTGGATCACGTGACGCCCGCCCGCCATATTGGATCACGTGGTGTTCCTTTGGAATGACTCATCCTTTTCCCGCCATGCCGTGCGTGCTGAATCGCCGAGGCATTCATTAATTTTATTCGGTAAGTATTTATGAAGGATTTAATTAATTATTATTTAACTTACCTAATTAATTTATTAATCACGTGGTCTTTGGAGAACATCGGCCATTTTGTTTTGTACGGTGATTTATGCTGCCCTTCATGACAGTTTTCAAAAATTGCGTGGGCCCGAACCCACGATGTCGAGATCTCCAGCTACGCGCTTTAACCACTGAGCCACGCTTTTGTTACCACAGAAGACTAAAAATTCGTACTTAGAAAAAAAAAAAGGCAAAGCGTTCAACGAGTTTACCGATCGAAAAGTTTCTTTTAAACGATGAAAGAGGGGTAGAAGACATATATTTTAATTTCTTAATTTTTTTTCGAACATTGATTACCTTCTTTAAGATATTATAAAGATTATTTTGTGCTTAATTTTTAATTAATATTTTCAATTTATCAAATGAATTTTTTTTCTTCTAAGTGGGTGATATTATTTTCGAATGGAAGAAAATTTTTTAAAATTATTTATTATCTGCAGGGAAAGAGTTAAAATGATATTTTTACATCTGTACTGATTTTCTTGAAGCTATGTTACTGCTGGCGCCATCTAGCGTCCAGAACATCATCTAAAAGTAACAGGATCGTAAAAAAAATAATATGAAAATGTAATATATTTCCTTTTCACGGGGTACGGGTACGAACTCGCTACCACCCAATAATTAATAAAAAGGGATTGAGGGGGACCGCATCCAAGTCTTTAAGCGATACCCCACAATTCCTTGGTTGATATGGTTCTTAATTATCTGCATAAGGTTTTTCCGTGCTCCGCCATCTTGGATTTCCTCTATAGCCGCCATTTTGAAGAATTTTCTTGGTGGGTAAATGACGTCACCCTTATCATGTTTGTGCATGATTTGGTTGGGAAATGGCGTCTGCCTTTTCACTCCCTTTGTGTAGACATCCGCGTAGGTGAACGAATACATTTCTGTGGACCAATCAGAAAGCAGAAAAATGATGTCATGCCCTCTTAACCAATCCGCGTATTCAGACAAAGTAAAAAGTTCGGAGCCGAGTTTCAACCGCTGGATTGCCTCCGAAATTCATTATTTGCTAAATTCTAGGAGTTTGTTACCACGCTTTTTGAAAAAAAAAAAAAAAAAAAAGTAAATTTCTTTATTCGTGTTTTTATTTTTGTATTTGTGTAGTGTGAGGATTCCGATGTATCTGTAAGAGATTCTAATGATCAAGTAAGCTAAATTTTATTTATGTGTTTTATTTACACGGCTTAGATTTTTTTATTATATTTTACCCTGTTTTGTTGTTTTGTTGAAACACGTGTTTGTAATATTAACGTTTCAAAACAGTTATATCGCCATATTATTTTCAATTGTTCTTTGACCACGTGTTTGTAATACTTACATGATTAAAAATACTATTATTTTGTAGTGTGAGGATTTCCATGCGCTTTTAAGAGATTCTGATGATGAGGTAAGCTAGTTTTATTTATTTCCTTCTGTGGCTTATTTTTACAATGTATAGTTTTTTTTGCCCCACCTAGAAAAAGACTATTCACTATTTTTAATTTATTTAGTGCCTGAGTGAAACATCTCAAATATTCATCGAAAATCCTATTGACGGCATTGAAAATTATTTTAGTGATTCAGGAGATGAAGTACGTAGTTTTTTTTTTTTTTTTTTTTTTTTTTTTTCCCTTGTCATTAATTTTTTTTGTATTTTTTTTATATAAGCTGAACCTAAATTTCTTTAAACACAACTGTTACTTTTCTTTAGCTCTTAAGTGAAACTTCGCAGATATTTTTGGAGAATCCTTTGGTTTTGCCTCTTTACTATCAAGTAGGCTCGGGATATGAGGTAATATCAGTTTTTAATATATATATAAATATATATGAGAATTATTTTTTCTATGTTTTTTATGTTTTTCTATTTTTTTCATATCACTGTGATGTCTATACATCTTTTAGACTCAACCTTCTGCTCCATCTAAAGGACCTGCATATGTGGAACATGACATTTCAGTAAATGTGAGTTTTTCTCCTGTTTTAGGGCTTATGGTGTGTTTGCGTGTGTGCTTATTTTCATTTACACTGAATTATGTTCTTTTCTTTCCAGATGGAAAATGCTATTATACTCAAAGAGAAGGCACGGCGTCGTAACCGAAAGTATCAAGGCGAGGAAATAACCTTCCAGGCACGTGTTGATATGAATCGTCTGCCTCAAAATATTCGCAACAGGCCTCTTCTAGCCGTAACTGAATCTGTTAGACAGCTGTTTGAAATATTAATTCAACGGTCAACAGAAAATCTAAGGCCGACAGATTGGATACGAATGTGTATCCAAGCCGATGGATTGGATAAACCCATGTCTACGAAAATTATTGCCGTATCTTCCATGACGGTGGAGACCGTATTATCGGTTATTATGAAAGTTCTGCAGTCAAAAGATGAAATTCGGCTGGATTCAGGCTTCCTAGTAGATGTGATCACGATTCGCAGGGATATCGGTGCAGGGTAGAGCAAAGATAATCAACATTCAAGTAGATCGTCTTAAAAAACGCTCTGTCCTTTCCATCCCGTCAGATGATGAAGGGTTGTGTTGCGCAAAAGCAATCGTATATGCCCTAGCTTATCTTGAGCAAGACAAGTCAGCGCTTAATTCTCTACGGGATCGGAGACGATCTGTTCTAATGCTACGAGCTCAAGAATTACACAAGTGTGCTGGAGTTCCTCTTGGTCCTTGTACATACACTGAAATCTGCACATTTGAAAATCATCTAAATATACAAATCGTAGTAATAAGCAGTGAAAATTTAAATAAAGTAAGCCAAAGATTTTAAACAAAAAAAAATTAATTAAATTGAAAAAAAAAAATGTAAAATGAAATTATATTTATAAACTGTTTATTTCTAGGTCTCGTATAAAGGAAGATATCGAACTCGTCGCATTAATTTGTGGCAACACAATGGCCATTTTGATGTCATTACAAATTTACACGGTTTTTATGGTTCGAAAAACTATTGCGAAAATTGTGAAAAGCCATATGACCGTCCAGAAGATCACAGGTGTGACAATATGTGCCATGTCTGCCTAAGATTTCAATGCGTTCCAGCATTGCCTAAAAGATGTAAAGATTGTGATCGCCTCTGTCAATCTGAGGACTGCTTTGCAGCGCATAAAGCCGTCACAGGTAGACAAGAGCATTCAGTATGCGATAGGGTAAGTATTACTCAACTAGGGGAAAAAAAAAGTTTTTAATACTTACATTTTTAAAACTTTTTTTTTTTTTTCTAAATATATTTTTTTAAAAAATCTTTGTTCTACTTTTTTTTTCCTAATTACAGATGTATCAGTGCAGACAATGCTCAAAAGTTATCATGCGACGGCAGTGTCCTAAAATTTTACATCGTTGCGGGACTATCAAATGCCCTTCGTGTAAAGAGTATGTTATAGCGTCAGAACATCATTGTTTCTTACAACTCATTTCTGCGAAAAGTCCATCCGATAAATTAATTTTCTTTGATTTCGAAACTGACCAATCATCAGGGGAACACATCGTAAACTTTGCTGTAGCGCAGTACAAAGATGGCCAAGAGAAAATATTTAAAGGATACGAAGCATGTCATGAATTCTGCTCTTGGCTGTTTACAACAGTGCACAAAAATTACACTGTTATTGCACACAATATGAAGGGGTAAATGTATTCTTATTATTTTTAATCTGCATATATATATTATAGGGCTATTGTTTTAAATATAATACATTTTTTAAAATATAATAATTTTTTTTTTTCTTTACAGATTTGACGGTCAGTTTATAATGGCATGGCTTTTAGAACAGGGTACGGCACCTGAAGTAATCCCTAATGGCTCTAAAGTGATGGTAATCACCCATACCGCCCTCAACATAAAACTTATTGATTCTTTTAATTTCCTGCCGATGGCTCTCTCAAAGCTGCCTGCTTGTTTCGGCCTTACAGAACTAAAAAAAGGATATTTTCCGCACCTTTTCAACAAGAAAGAAAATCAAAATTATGTGGGATTTTTACCTGAGCCTAAGTACTACAATCCTGATTGTATGACTAGTGCGGTGCGAACCTCCTTTTTGGAATGGCATAAAGAACACGAGAAGGATGTATTTGATTTCCAAGAAGAAATTCTCACGTATTGCCGGTTTGTATCAACAATCTATTTCTAATCCTTCATTATGATCCGTCTTTTAGGTGTATTTTTTTTTGGTACCATGTTTTATTTATTTATTTACTCTTTTCGTTTTCAGATCAGATGTTGATATCCTTTGTAGATGTCGCGTTGAATTTAGAAATTACAGGAGTAGACCCCTTTTGGTATTTTACAAACCTTTTCTTTTACATGGTTTTGTCATTTTGTAACAACGTATTGTATACGTGCATGTATACTTTATGTATATATGATTTACACTTTTCTTGTCCGTTTTATTTTCAGTTACATAACCATTGCATCAGCGTGTATGGCGGTTTACAGATCCCGACACATAATACCTAATACCATCGCAATGATACCTGTAGGAGGTTATATCAATCGCACGAATCATAGTCCTGACTGTATTCGTTGGCTTGATTTTATTGCCCAAAAAGAGAGCATTGAAATCGAACACGCTTTGAACGGAAAAGGAGAAAGACGATTGGATGGTATATCTGTAGACGGATATTGCAAAGAAACAAATACTGTTTATCAATACTACGTAAGAGTTCAATATTTATTTATTTATAAATATATTATTTAATTTATTTATTTATTGGTATTATACGAAAAAATTTTTAACTATCGCAGGGATGTTTCTTTCACGGTTGCTCCACCTGTTTTGACGGAGATGCACTCCACCCCATAACAAAATTACCCATGTCGACATTGCGACAACAAACGGTAGACAAGACTTACCAGCTACGTGATCGAGGGTATAATGTAATTGAAATGTGGGAGCATGAGTTTGAGATGAAAAAGAAAACAGATGAAAAAGTAAAATATTTTCTTCTAAGTCACGAGCTTCAGGATCGATTGAATCCTAAAGATGCTTTCTTCGGCGGGCGGACAAATGCCATTCAGCTGTATTATGAGGGTGATGCAAAGTATGTGGATTTCACTTCACTGTATCCATGGGTAAATACTTTTTTCTGTTTGTGTTTTGGCATAAAATAATCTTATTAAACGCGCATGTCTTATTTAAAAAGAAAATCGCTTTTCCGATTATTCATATTTTTTCAATTTTTCCTAGGTCAATAAATACTGTTTGTACCCCGTCGGACACCCTAATATTATTACTGAAAATTTTGATGCCTTGGAAAACTATTTCGGTATTATAAAGTGCCGAATACTGCCTCCTCGAGGTTTATACCTCCCCGTATTGCCGTACAGAGCACAAAATAAACTGATGTTTCCCCTCTGCAAGACTTGTGCTGAATTAATGTATCAAGGCATTTGCCAGCACTCAGATGATGAGAGAGCCATCATTGGCACATGGGTGACTGACTGAAGAAGTCAAATTAGCAGTGAAAAAAGGTTACTGTATAACAAAGGTAAGTATTTTGGGTAATTATTAGTATTATTGAATGTGTTATAAATGTCACAGCATGTATTTTTATTGTATATATTATATATTCATATTCCCACTATCTTTTTTTTTTCAGATTTATGAAGTGTACCATTTTTCTCAATTTACGGATACTCTATTTCAATCTTATATCAACTTGTTTTTAAAAATAAAACAAGAAAGCAGCGGCTGGCCAGCCGATTGTGTAAGCTCGACCGAACGAAAGCGCTACCTTGAAGCCTATTTTGTGCGAGAGGGTGTACAGCTTGATGAATCTAATATTAAGAAGAATCCTGGAAGACGGCAAGTAGCCAAATTGGCTTTAAACAGCTTCTGGGGACGGTAAATAATTATTATAATGTTTTTAATAGAAAAAGTTGTCTCACATCTTTATATCATTTTATTATTTCTTAAAAAACAAATACTCATTCTTTTCATATTTTTTTTTTTTCTTTAAAGATGGGGAATGAACCTAAACAAGATACGTTTGACTTAATGTTCATACTTTACCTGATTTCAATAAAATATTAGTAGATCCAACAAAAAATGTAAGTTTTGTAATTTTATTTTCTAATGTAAATTAAGATGTATATTTTTAAATGATTAATCTTGCAACCTGCTAACTTTTCCTCCAGATCAAAGACTTATATTTTCCGACTCCTGAAGTAGCTGCTGTGCAATGGGACTATAAACATTATTTTGTTCCACAGGACACATCCACAAATGTGTTCTTGGCAGCTTTTACTACTGCATGGGCACGGTTAAAGCTTTACAGTGAAATGGAGAAGTTGGGCCGTGCTGTGTTGTATCATGACACGGATTCAATTATATACGCAAGCGATTTTACCAACGATCCGCCTCTTGGTAATTTTTTGGGGGATTTTACAGATGAACTCAATGGAGATACTATTACTACATTTGTCTCTGGTGAGCTTCATTTTTTTATTTTTATTTTTTATTAGGTTGATCTTTTATTCTTTCTTGTAGTTTCTGTAGCATATTTTTTCCCCCATTCAGGAGGCCCTAAAAATTACGCTTATGTAACAGCCCGAGGAATGACTTGCTGTAAAGTTCGAGGTTTCTCCCTCAACTTCAAAAATCAACAGATTTTAAATTTTTTGGAGATTAAGAATTTAGTGTGCTCGATGGATCGAAAAACAACAATCGCCATGTACGATGAACATAAAATCATGAGAGATGCCAAAAAGAGGAAAGTTTTAACTAAGGCAGAAACAAAACTGTACAAAATTGTTTACAACAAAAGGGTCCTAAAAGAAGATCTAACTACTGTTCCCTATGGATTTTAAGTGGTATGCATCTCATTTATTTTATTTCATTGCAGGGTTATTGTTGGATTAATGTTAAAAAAAATTATATTTTGCAGTAAAATTTTAAAATTGTGTGGTTGACTTTTTTTTTTTTTTTTCTTAGCCTTTTCTTAAACGAGAGGAGTATATAAAGCTTCACACATTTCTGAAGATCATCAGTACCCCACAAAATGGAGTGGCCTGTGTGTTGAAACACCCTTCCACATCTCTCATCAGCGGTCCGACAGGATCCGGTAAGACATATTTTGTGAAACGAGTCATCGAAGAAAGTCTGCTTTCTCCTATGCCTCAGCGTATAATTTATTGCTATGGAGCATATCAACCTATTTTTTTAGTAAAATGAAAAATGTGCAGTTTGAAGAAGGACTACCATCGAACCTCAATTCCCTGCAAAATGCACTAATTATCATTGATGATTTAATGTCTGAGTTAGCGAGCGATACTCGTTTAAGTAAACTTTTTACGAAAGGAAGCCATCACCGAAATCTTTCTATAATATTTATCGTTCAAAATTTATTTCAGCAGGGTAAAGAGATGCGAACCATTCATTTGAATTGTCATTACATGATACTGTTCAAAAATCCTAGAGATAAATGTCAAGTCGTACATTTGGCAAGGCAGATGTTCCCCGGGAAAACAAAGGCTTTTCAGGAAGTCTTCCAGGATGCAACTTCAAACCCTTACAGTTATTTACTAATAGATTTAAGACCAGAAACCCAAGAAATGTTAAGGTTACGTACAGGCATTTTCCCTTCAGATAAGCATTTTGTTTATGAACTCCGTTAGTTGCTGTTGCACTCAACAAGTTTTCTCCTTCAGTGATTTAATTTGTAGGTTTTTTAAAATTTAAAACTCTCTTTTACATTGTAAAAGAATAAAATTTGCCACACCGAATTTTTTTTTTTTTTTTTTTTTTTTGAAAATTAGATTATTTAAAAAATGTCCTAAAATATAAGATCTGCACAAAAAGCGGTTGCTTATGCGACCTTTATAAAAGAGAAGGAATTGTTAAAGTACCAATCATTTGAGGTCCAGATGTCGAGCCTGGAACATCTTAAACTCCTAGGCAAAAGTAAAGTAAAAAAAAACTCTTCTAAGAAAATGTCCCAATAGTGTTATTAAAAGTGTATGTGAATGTGCTTTAAATGTATTACAGGGTAACGTTCCTTTGTCTAAAAGACAGAAACGTAAACTGGCCGTATATAAACGGACTTTGCGTACATTAGGTGATAAAAAGATACCCTTATTTAAAAAACGGAGACTATTGGTACAAAAAGGTGATGGATTTCTTTCGTTGCTCATTCCTGCCGCAGTTTCTGTACTGAGCACATTAATTAATGGAGTTCGCTCGTAAATTTATCCTTGTACCCTCGGATCGAGAATTAGAATTTGCTGAAAACCATTTATCAGATTTAGATCAGCAAATGAGCACCATTTTAAACGAGAAGTTATCCGAAGATGAAAAAGCCAAGCAATACCTTCAAATACTTCAAAAATATGTAACATTTCCCCAATTAAAATCAGAAAACACAAGAAAGTGTTCAGCTTAGCAAAGAAGAAGAGAAAAAGTTTACCATGGAAGAAGAAATTGTGAATTCCGCTCCAGTGAAATTTAAGAACATTGCCAAAAGAATTATAGACTTTTTAAAACTTCACAATGATATTATTACATGGACTCCATCTAAAGAATTAATCATGAACCAAGTTAAAATTAATAATTCTAATGTTCAAGACTTGGTGAATTATTTGTTAAGAAATCAACAGACCAAGCCTGTAGGTTATGAAGAGTTTAAAAAATTCTTAGATGTTGTAGATTTTCCCAGGGAGTTTGTAAAAAACAAGTATCTGTTTACAATGTATGCTAAACCTAAATGTGTAAAAAAGAAAAGAAAATTGTATTCAACTTCTTGGATAAAATATTAAATAAAAAGAAAGATATTAGTTAAATTTGGTGTGTTTTTATGTGTGAAAAAATATTTTTTTAATTTCAGGTTGAAAAAAAATGATCCAGTAATTTTTTTTTTTTTTAAAAGAAGTAAATGTTTTTTTTTCCTTAAATGTTTTTGAAACCTTTAATAACAAAATTGTAAATTGCACATAAGAAAGACAAAACTAAAATTCCAAGCAAATTAATATTTTATTTCTTAAAAATCATTTTTACACCATACCTTTTCTTCACAAAATGAAATACATGAAAATCGCTATTTCTTACAGAAAGATTAGATACAATTGATTCCAAACATAATCCTTGACATCGTTTTAACAAATAATAAGTACAATATTGTCCACAAACATTTGATGTTACACTCTGAAGAGAAACTTGATTCCATGTCACACAGTTAAACTTGCTAGTAAATTTTGCTATGTCATCACCATAAGTCATGGGAGGAAGTCCATAAGAATCGAAAAAAAAAATTCTAAAGTCTGATTATTTTCAATGAAGAAGAAAGCCAGCCAGTGCGTCCCTTTCTCGTTGTGTTTATCAGTGTTGACTACAATAGCTGCTGGGAAACGATGAACATCTGGGATTTTATCTGAAGGGAAAACTCCAGTGTAGTACTTTGCTGTCCATTTGTCATGAGAGAGTATTCTATGAATTTCTGAAGAATTCATTAGTTACCAAAATCGTAGATAATATTTCTAGATTTATTGATTTCTATTAAGTTTTCAAATTCTGCATAGACTATTAACGATGTTGTTATTGGCAGAGGGAAACCGAATTTTACCTCCAGTCTCAAATTACTATGACGGACTAAATTCAAGTGAGAACCATCACACAAGTCAGGTGATAGATCGAAAAGAAATAAGCAGTATCCTTCTGGATACTCTGATCTCGAAAGATACAATCCTCGGTTTTCTGCATTGGCAAATAAATTCTGATAAGCACGAATAAAGGTTTTATTCATGAAATCAGGTTGAAGAGGATTGTGAGGCATAGGTTGCCCATCTACGTAAATGCCAATAAAATTGATATGATTGTGCTTAAATTCGAAGGGAGATTTTTTATAGTTTCCGTTGAAAGCATCATTATCGACACAAGCAACAATTAAGCGTTTAGGCATCTGGCCCGTAAAAATACTATCTTGAACAAAACTCATATTTCCTGATGGAATGGAATACACTTTGCAAAGCACTCGGTTGATAGGATATTTCGCTGTCGCTTTTTCTAAACTTTTTGCATGCCCTAAAATTACACCTGGACTGGACGGACTCGAACTTTGCGTACAAAAATAATGAGGCATGTTCCAAACAAAAAAACTGAAAAAATTCCGGCCTGCCAAACAAAAAGGAAATTCCACCAAAAAAAAAGTCTTTCTTGAAAAACATATCTAGATGTAAGCCGTCCAATCATGAAACATCCACTGTAGCACTAAGTCATATCCACTGTTTAAGTTTAAATTCTTCTGCTCTTTTGAATCCCTCATTAGGTTGCTTATCCGCAGTATCAAAAACATTCATACGGCCTGCTGTATCTTTAAAATATAATTCTGATGATAATTGAGAAGTTTTCGTATCAAAACCATGATTAAGTAATTTTTCTATGATGGCTCTGTAAGGGTACGTGTTATTGCTGGAGGAAATAAGTCTTTCATTTAAGCTTATATCAACTTGAGAAAAGAGGGAGTGCAGAAACAAATTCACGGGTCCCACTTTATCATCTTTTCCGAGAGAGCCGCCATTGCTTTTCAAAATTTTAACTTTGACGTATAACTGAGTTTGAGATAAATCCAAATAGTCATCGCCACTACCCGCGACATTGAATTCGACAGGACTTCCATCCGACACATTCGCAAGGGGATGAAATTCTATCCATTGTCCTCTTTCTATAACTGTTTGGGTTGGAGGTAATGTAAATAAATCGAGTTCAGATTTGGCGCATTCTGGAGAATCTTTTAAGAGGAAAGCCATTATGAGTTGAAAATGTCACGTCTTTGCACTTTCCTGGCTTTAGACGAAATGAAGCGTTTGGGAGATTTGCGTTTCCTTTTAAACTTTCCGTGACCAATCATCTCATCTGCTTTTTGAACTGCTTTCCTTGCTAATTTTTTTCCACTTTCTTTAGATCTGGTTTTTTAAAGGCTGATTTAAAATTTTCTCCTGATATCACATCGTTTGCAATTTGCGTTCCTGCACGTAGAGCTTCTTTTCCAACAGTTTTTGCTCCCTTAATTAAAAATGGCATGGCACTACGGAAAAGTTTCGCAAAAAATCCACCTATTCCGTATCCTTTCTGTAAAACCATTCCCTGATAATACGGCAGACCTTTTCCAGTTTGTCCCACATAATAATCCTCAAAGTGTTTGGTGCAACAAGCATATGGAATGAGCATTTTTGATACAGCTTTTAGAACGTTTACACTATGAATGAATAATTTTTTCTTTTGGTAAAGCTTTTTATAGAATTTGTCTCAAACGAAAGTGGAGCACTATGAAAACTTTACCTCTTTCAAACGGCACCAGACTCCCCGAATGAGACCTTATTTCGATTTCAATCGTTTGAAAATGTTGGCGAATCACTGGTAAATAAAAAGGTCGAGAGTAATGTTTGTCAATAATCTCTCCGTCTTTCCCTTCCACTGTTACAATTTTCAGAAGGGGGGCTTGTACGTCACCTACGATTTGTGGTTCAACTAAATCACAGTATACATACATAACGGGGAAAAAACCATTCGGATTCGCTACGAAAGGACTTTGGACACTTCCTTCGTAAACACCCGGTTCAAATCCTAAGAGCTCAGCTAGTCCTCCGTGAAGAACCACTTTTGATTGTTCATCCGTCTTTATCATTACTCTTTTCGTAATGTTATGATAAGAAAATTCAATTTTGTTTTTATGAGAAACTAAAGTCATAGCTTTTAATATGTCCGGTATCGTTTCATAATAACCAGGAGGAATATGCCGTCCTTCCAGTTCTCCATTGTGAACAGCAAACCCAAATAAATTATTATCTTTTCCGACATTATACCATGAATGAGGGTAAATAATATTTAGGAGAGCTAGTTCCCAGTCCCCATTACTAAGATCAATAGGAGACGGTAGTTGGGTAATAAATCGAGAAATTTTTTTGTCTGGAAAAAATCTCCTAGAGCTATCGCTTATGAGTGTTACGTAGAAGGACATTTTCGCTCAAATGAAAAGTAAAATACAGTACGCATGGTTTTTATATCATTTTCAAATTTGAAACCCAAGTATTAAATTTTTCAGGGTAACCCTGAAATTTAACAAAGTATTCTGATTTTCCCCAATGCTTTCTTGTCTTCAGTACCTTTTCGACAGGATAGTACCCACAGTCCGCTACTTTTTGTAATTCTTGTTTATAGAAGGTTCCTTGTATATCTTCTCCCGCTAAATCTCTTAATTTATAGACGATAGGATTTCGACGAATTATTTTATGGATTGTAAAAATTTCTCTTGTCCAATTTTGTTCGTATCCTTTCTCGAAGAGCATTTTTTCGCGGCTGATGCGTACCGTGTCTCCAATCTTTAAATCTGAAGGAACAGGTTTTTGTGCTGATTGCTGACCGTACAAAGTTTTCCAAATTTTTTCTTGATTTTGTAGCGTAACCGATGCAGGTTCTGTCTTAATACTTCGATGCCATGTGTTGTTATAACTGGATATCAATTTATCTATAACATCGATGTACCTTCGTGTATTCATTTCGGTAAAGTATTTCCACATTTTAGTTTTAAGGGTCCTATTAAACCGTTCCACGACAGAAGCTTTTGTATTATTGTGTGTCGTAAAAAAGTGGATATTTTTCTTTTTCAAAAAATTTTGAACTTGCTTATTGGTAAACTCTTTTCCTGCATCTGTCTGTAAAGACTCGGGTGTACGTTCCGAAAATATCTTTTTGAAAGCAGATTTAATGGACACAGCTGTTTTATCTTTGAGAGGGATAGCCCAAGCGTATTTGGAAAAAATATCTATGCACGTCAGTAGTAAATATTTATAACCACTATATTAAAAGATACCAGCGATTGCATATCCACTAAATCAGACTGAAATTGTTCGTCGATGCCCCCTACAATGACTCGGTTGCGTTGGAATCTGTGCCGCAGAGGTCTGTGAAGCGTATAAGAATCTTTCGCCTGCAACCATCTTTTGATTTCTTTGCTTTTTACTCCAGAAACACGTTGTAAAGCATTTATACCACCGAAGCTTGCCGGCTGCGCTGGATCCCGATATGTCAGATTCAGAATTTCTGACATTACAACAGGAATTTTTATCAACAGAAAAAGTTATGTTCATCCTCGGGCAAGCACTACCCAAATGAAATGATAAATCAAAGTGAACATTTATTTATACTTTTTTATACCCCGCTTCACCTAATCCTAATAACATCTTTTTTAAAAATATTAACTATTTAGTATTTTCTTAGTTAGAAAATTAAAATTCATGCCGAGTCACTCAAAAAGTATACAATTTTTTTTAAAAAAAACAAAACAATATTTTGAAACAAAAAGAAAGCAATACAAAAAAGTGAATAAAAACTAATATTTTATTTTATTTTTTCAAAAAGAACTATTCAGTAAATCTTTAAACAAATTAGTTTCTTCACATACATATAAATTTTGAATAATATTCAGTACATCATTTACATTAATAACATCAAAAAAGTCATCAGTAACAATTAGTTTACTAAAATTTATATTACATTCATTTTCACGAATGAAGTCATTTGCTATCTCAGGCCAATTAACTGTAAACAAAGCCTGGTCAAAATAAGTTTCACATTTTTCAGCACGGCTTGTTGATAAGCATTCATGTCCGAGCTGATTATTAATCCCTTGTTTGCAACCAAAAAACACACAAAAAGTTCTGAAAATTTTTTAGAAATAAATTTTTCAATACACTTACACAAAGAGTCCTGCAGCTCATGAAATCCATTTGGACGGTCTGGATCACCAGCATATTCATTCAATTCAAAATGTGTATCACCAACCACCTGCTTTTTCACAAAATAGTTAAGAGTTTTAGAAATAAGTGTTTCCTTCGCGACACCACATATTTCGCTATATATGGAGTCCAGTTTGCGTAAATGTTCTTTCCTCAACAGAACACGTTCCGGTACAAATTCAAATCGTAAATCTTTTCTTTGGAACAATCTTTGTAGTGATATAATTAGTTCACCGTTGACATTTTGTTTTGAAACACACACATCTTTCTTCACAATAAAAACACTATCGGAACCTTCAAAGGAAGCAAATGTATTGGTATGATCGCTCAATTCTTTCCATACTAGAGGAGAAAGCGAAACTCCATCTTTGCTAGGATGTAGCAAATCGTTGTCATCAGTCACATATTTCCGAACGTGAACACGAGTCAAACCTAAAAAAAACACGATACAGTGACAAAAATATCCCCTCCGAGATGAAACATATTCTTTGGCAAAGAATCAAGCTTCAGCAAAGTTTCGTCATATGAAGCACCGCAAAACTTCTTTGATGATAAACATGAATTTGCAGCTAGACGTTTCATTATGCACAACAGTACAACAAAGCAAACACAAAACTAAATAAGCAACGCGTGGTAACAACTTCCAAAATTTAGCAAGTAATGAATTTCGGAGGCAATCCAGCGGTTGAAACTCGGCTCCGAACTTTTTACTTTGTCTGAATACGCGGATTGGTTAAGAGGGCATGACATCATTTTTCTGCTTTCTGATTGGTCCACAGAAATGTATTCGTTCACCTACGCGGATGTCTACACAAAGGGAGTGAAAAGGCAGACGCCATTTCCCAACCAAATCATGCACAAACATGATAAGGGTGACGTCATTTACCCACCAAGAAAATTCTTCAAAATGGCGGCTATAGAGGAAATCCAAGATGGCGGCGGAGCACGGAAAAACCTTATGCAGATAATTAAGAACCATATCAACCAAGGAATTGTGGGGTATCGCTTAAAGACTTGGATGCGGTCCCCCTCAATCCCTTTTTATTAATTATTGGGTGGTAGCGAGTTCGTACCCCGTGAAAAGGAAATATATTACATTTTCATATTATTTTTTTTACGATCCTGTTACTTTTAGATGATGTTCTGGACGCTAGATGGCGCCAGCAGTAACATAGCTTCAAGAAAATCAGTACAGATGTAAAAAATATCATTTTAACTCTTTCCCTGCAGATAATAAATAATTTTAAAAAATTTCTTCCATTCGAAAATAATATCACCCACTTAGAAGAAAAAAAATTCATTTGATAAATTGAAAATATTAATTAAAATTAAGCACAATAATCTT